GTAATGTTTAGGTCCTAGAATAACATTTATCATAAAACATGGAGAGGGTTCTGAGGAGAGGATAGGACCTTCACTAGGCGTTGTACAAGGTTCCAGCCTTACGATCTCTATTGTAGCTAGACAAATTCATTTTCCGACATGCTATCTTCTTTGATTATTGTACTCTTCATTTTATAGTTACGTCGCTTCTTTGGACAATGTTGAATAGTGTGCTTAGATTCTCCACAATATAAGCACAATCCTTCTTGACAATAATGAGTCTTTTCTTCTTCAATAAGAAGTTAGAAACGTATCACATCAATTTGCATATCCTCTACTTCCGAATGTATGTGTTGAAGAGATGTTGGTGTTGCCATTGAATTATAGTAATGTTGAAGTTCACTTGTATGGTTCTCAAATTGGAATTCAAAAAGATGATTGTTACACTTTACAACAAAGTCAATTGCTTCACTCAATGTTTGACAATTAGATAAGTTGAGCATTTTTTTACCTCATATTGTAATCTATAAAAAAATTGGCTAAAAAGTGCAGCATTATCCTACTTGATATCAGTTGCAAGTTGTCAAAACTATGAAGCATATAATATTACTGATCGATTGTCTTGTTCCAAAATACGGATCTTGTTGGTTGTAACACGAATTGCATCATATTCTCCATACATGGATCAAAACTCCGTCAAAAAAGTCTTTTGATTATCTAATATTAGATCTCATTATTTAAGAAAATATGAAAATCATGATAATGTTGAACCTGAAAGAAGCGTACCAATGAATCTAACTTGTGATCTTGGAGTTAGATAGCTTTGGGGTTGAAGTTCAATCACACGTTGTACTTGATTGATAAATCCTCTAAACTTTGATCTGGTGCCATCAAACTTCTTGGGTATGATAATTCTTGGTTCTCTAACACTAGAAGGGCATCCCACCATAGGAAAATGGACATGATTTGGTATAGATGTTGAAGTAGCTCCAATCATTTCTATATCTTCACTTCCTACCAATCTTATTGTTCCTTGTGGTGGTAAATTGAATTGATGCATCATAAGCATTAACTCCCTCAATTGCTCTTATATTTGTGCCATTGTATTCTTCATTTCAACAAGTTTTGCCATGATAACACTTAGAAAAAATAGATGTCTAATATTGCTCAAGACAAATAAAAGAAAGGACTTGAGAACAATATCAATTTAGAAGAGGGTAATCTGCAACTTCTAATATGCTTATGTCTTATCAAGAAAAAGGGATAATCCACTCTTAATCAAGATTAGACAAAGCTTTGATATTGTAAGTATATTCTTGTCAATCTGTCAAGGACAAGAACTTGATAAAAATAAATAAATAAGTTAGACTTCTCTCAAAGAAAGATGACAAAATAGAAATAATTCAATATGTATATTAAGAAAGAAACTGGAATAGCTATTGCCAAAAGACAAGAGAACTAGAGACCTTTGAAACTAGACTAGAAGCAAGAAAGGAGTTGACAAGAGTGAAGAAGGCTTCAGTCTTGTCTCTATATATATTATCTAATTAGGGGCTATGTGGCGATATTTTATAGGACCTCCATTATGTGTTGACTTTGTAGAACACATGCCTTGACTTAAAAGGCAAGTTTTTCTATGTATGGGCCACATAGTTAGCTTGGTCTTCAAACTAACATGTGTGGCACATGGCCAACTTGTTGACCACGTTTCTAATCCAAAAAATCAATGAAAGTCACCTATAAAGTCAAAGTAGTATCTATAAAGCTTCTAGGAAGCTACTATAGCAAATATTATAGAATTGATTTACTTTTATCTACTTTTACTTACTTCTACCTATTTATACATGTAATTACTGGCTTACATGCGTATGTCCGTGACATTGAGTGATTTTCTAGTCTTTTCAAGTGACACAAGAGTGTTTTGACATTGTAGTTCTTTGAAGTTTATATCCTTGATATCAACATAAAAAAAAGATATATTAAGTTATTAATATCAAATATAGAATCTATTAAAATATCAAATTATTTATCATATTTTAATTTTTTTAATGTAGTTTAAATCATAATATTATATTTATTTTAATATCACTATTTGGTAATAATACTTTAAACTTAGATTATATAATTTTAATAAATTAAGGTTTATTTTATTATTCTATTTTTTAAAATTGCTACACTACTAATGTTTTTAAATTTTTTATGATATTTTACATATTTAATTCATAAAATAATACATTCATAATTTTTATATTTTTTTTAATTAACAAAGCATGTATTTTTAAACTACTTATCTAAAATTAAGACTATCTTGTAAATTGCTAATAATCTAATTCTTAAGTTGTGTACTAATTTGTGTATTTGTGTACTTATTCTTTTAATTGAGTGAATGTTCATACATTAGTATATAATCTCATCATTTTTATTAATATGGTTAAAATAAAAATATAATTATTTTAATAACAATACATCTTATTTGTTATAATTAAGTATATTTATTTATTAATACAACATATAAATATATAAATATAAATATATATATATATATATATATAGTTTAAAGAAAAATTCTACTTTAATCTTATTTTTTGTTATAATTTCTAATTTATGTTAATAATTTGTGGCTTTATTTCAAAAAGTACTACTTTTATTTCTATTTATTTAAAATGCCATATCCATTTACTAAATCAACCTCTCCTATTGTAAAGAACAAGGATAAGCAAGGAAAAACGAGGGAGGTTGAAATGAAGAAGGTTAGGAACAAAGAAGGTGGGGATGATGACAATGTTTGTAATGATGGTTTTTAGAGGTGATCCATTTTTCTAATGATGATTACATTAGGGTGGATCAATTTAAAAAAAAATAGGTCATTTTAACATTTTTCTAAAAATAAGCTTGTAATATTGAACTAAAATTATAATAATTTAAAATAATTAATCAATTTTATTTTAATTTTTATAGTTTCAACTAGACCAATTAAAGATGATTGTAGAATTAATAAAACATATAATCTGCAACTATTTTTAAATTACTTCATACTTTTATACATGAGTTATATCTCATTATCATAAAGATGTTATTTCATTGGGATTTTGTAACTTGACTTCTAAAATAATTCATGGCTTTACATTGCTTTAATAAATTAAGATCAAATTAAATGTTAGTAGAATTTGGATTTATGTGTATGTAAAAATATATATTCAACAAATTTTGAATCTATATATATATATATATATATATACAATTTGAAATTTTATTTAATAAGAAATAAGTACTAAAATGCATGTAAATACAAATATATATATATATATATATATAAAACTTAATCGTGTGTTTAAAGGGTGAAGCTCCGCATGGGAAATGGCTCCATTCAAATGCATGCTTCCCCGCTTTCCTTCTGGTTCTTCTCAGGCAGCGACAAAGCTCGGTGCTGAACGTATCGGCGATGAAATGTGAGGAAGAAGACGAAGAAGAAGAACAGAGGGGAAAGGCTCCGGTCACTCTCTGCTCCCCGAGCAGAGTGTGTACACTGCACGTCAATCAGGACAGGAAAGGAAAGGAAATAAAAGGCAAGAAGAAGGACAGGAGAAGGAGAAGAAGGAGAAGGATGACCCACCAATCGCCCTCTCCAACCTGCCGTTACGCAAGCATCCCGCCGGTTCTTTTTAGTATTCCCTATTCCCCGAATGGATTCCAATCATATTCCAACAGATCCTCCTTTAACCAATCCCTCGGCTTGTATGCAGCACCATCCATCTCTCCCTGGCCCCTCACGCAGCCTCATGGGATGATTACATTGGAAAATTAGTCGAGTTCACACTTTGCTGCTACCTTCCCGGATCTTTTTTGTATTCTCTTGCCGATGTGAACTCGCTGCTGTTTACGTGAGGATTTCAAGGAATGCCTCTGTATTTAATTCTGCTACGAAACTGAACTACTAAGTGAGGGTTGGTTGTTACAAAACTATAGTTTTTTTGATGCAGTTGTGATGCACTGTCGCCAGTCGATGAATCTCTCGCCTCTTTGAAGGCTGTGCGGGTCCTACCGCGACCGGTCCGGTTTAGGAATCCACCTAATTCGTTATGGCCATCTTGTGGATCGGCTTCTCGAATCACGGACAGACAGATGCTTGCCTCTACAGACAACCCTAGGTCGGAATGCAAGTCACGATAATTGCGCAACGAATCTTAAAGTGGACATGGATATGTACCTACTCTGATTCCGAAGATAATCAGGCATGAATGCCAGAAGTGAGAGGAGCCGTTCAGTTAGAGGGATGAAAAAATAACGTCTTATTCGAAACAGGGTTTCAGTCATGTCATGGTAGAACCAGAGATGGAGTCCTCTGTGGACCACGCATTTCAACCCCAGTTCATGAGCAAAGGCCCCCCATCAAGACGCACAAATAATCAAACCGCTCTTAATTTGTCAATCACTGCTGATTTCGCCATGTATCGGGTCTCAGTGAAAACATTGTTTTCAAACTTGCAAGACTTCAGACCTACCACTTCTAGTCCAATAAACAACTCGAAAGCTAGAAACTCCAGTTAGGAGTCCAATAATCCCCTGTCTTCGAAACAGTACCAGAACTGAATTTAAGCTCTAAAAAGTAAAGAAAGAGCCGTGGTAATCAAGGGGTCGAGAAGCGCTTCTGCGATCAGGAAGCACCATTGCAATATTGTACAAAATACCATGCTATGAGCAATCGAATAATCTTGACCCAGCGAGGCGACAACTAGATTAAACATTACGATGTATTTGCAGTGGATAACTACGATGAGTGCCCCACAATGGAGAGGGTCGAGCCAAACCTTTCGATGCGAGTAAAAAGGGAGGTCGGTCAGTGACCAAATTGAAAGCGACAATGATACCATTTTACTAACTTTGAGGGCAAGGACAAGGGAGACCGAACATTGCTCAAGAATAGGAAAGGGTTAGCGGAAACGACCCGGAACGGCATCGCAGCCGTCGCCTACTCACACCTCACCTAATTGGTGCGATCTAGCGGGCAAGTCGCCCCAAATCGGAGTATGTAACATCCACTTCAAGCTCCTTCTGACTCATTGTTCACAACTGCCTCTCGCCTACAGCCGATCGCAATTCTCAAGCCTTTCTGTAATTCTTCGCTCTGCGCGTTCGTTCTCCACCTTCAAGCCTCACCATGGCAATCTCTGGATGCGGCAAGCCTGACTGCGGTTGCGGCAGCGACTGCCAATGCAGCAATGGATGCTCGTGAGTCTTATTCCGATTCGATTGGCTTGCTTTATTTTTTTGTTTTCCTTTTCCCAATTGGATTTCTGTTTGCTGGAGAGTTAGAGAGTGCGCGAAACTATTGTGAATCCTTAACGGAGAATAGGAGTTTTGCCGGTCGAAACATTTCTTTTTGTGAAAGTAGTCTGGTAGTTTGTGTTTTAGACGTAAAAGGTTTTGCCATAATTTGATTGCTACGCGTTATATCCCCTTGTTCACTTTCTGCGTCTTGAAATATCTTCTAACAAGTGTTGGGGAAAGTCTTCGTCGGAGTTACTACGTGTTGTAGGTGTAATTAAGTTTGGAATCGCTACAAGATCGTGTAAAGGTAGCTTAGTTGGTGTGCGTCTGTGACTAATGACACTTGAGAGCTGAAGTGAGGTCTTTCCTGGTGAGGCTGATGCCACACACACGAATCAATCGTTGCGAGCTATCTTGAGCCTGCTGTTCTATATGCACTCTTCGCCATGTTGTCGACATCTGAAACATCGTGAGTTGAATCGTCGTTCTAACTAGTGTCGTGATCGTGTGATTGATTCGGCAGATGCTGCAAGACTTTGGTCAAGTAAGTTTCACTTTCGGCTTTGAACCTCTTTCAGCAAAATTGGCTTCCAAAGCACTGATGTCCTAGAACAAACCCCAGCAGTCATCAATTCTAGCTCTGTGGACCCCCCATTCAAACTCACTGCATCCGTTTGTATGACTCTTTGAGAACTGACCCACTATTGTGATCCGGTCCTGTGCACAGCTTCAACACCGAGAACGACTGCAAGTGTGGCCCAAACTGCAACTGTGCCGACTGCGCATGCCACAAGTGAGCGCAGCCACCGTCGTGGATGCGCCGGTGCAGCAATCCCATAGCCACTGCCATGGAAGCAACGAGAGGACATGGCGGGTAGTTGCACCGCTTGGAAAGCAGCAACACTTGTGCAGAAATAGTCCGAAAAACCACCTATAAAAACATGGCATATCTGCCCTTCACAGTATCATACAACAATGTGGCAGAGGCCGTTATATTTGAATAACATATTCGGGATGGGGCTCCCTCGAGCTTCTCCCCTTTTTCTGTGAACCCAAATGCCTCCAACAGTATATGTGTGTGTGTATGTTTTGCTTGTGTTATTCTGCACATTTCGGTGCAAACTCTTCCACATGATCAGCATGATTTTTACCCAACATGTCTGTATTTTTTCACTTCCTTGTCGCGGAATTGTTCTTTCGTTTGTTTTTTTTTCTGCGCATGCAAGTGCGTATTTTGAGGTTGTGTGCATGTTTGTTTTTGGTGTTGTTTCAACGTGAAGGTTTTACTGTGTCATGAACATAGATAATGAATTTTAATTCTGGAACTTTCAATTATAATTCTCTCAAAGCTGCAAGTGAACTTTTCCGGCTAAGGCACTTGCCACAAACACATCTTCCACCAAAACTCTTCTGATTCTAAGTCCACCAGCCATGTACAGACAGTCGTGTTTCAATTTTAAATGTCACGATTTTGTGCAATTTAACATTGATTTGAACATAAAAAATAAAAAAATAAAAATTAAATGATTTAATAAGGGTTCTTACATATCTATGAGGTATTGTGTTCATAATTTGAATTGACATGTTCTAAAAGAAATAAAAACTTAAAGCCAGCTTAAATATATGAACTAAATAAAAATTATACTATAAGAATTAAGACTCTTGAAAACATAAAAAAAATTGTTTTTTACTTTCAATCTAAGTACTTATGAAAAAATAATTAAAGATTTTTTTTTTTTTTTTTTTTTTTTTTTTTCCCTAATATGAAATAAGTTTAAAATTTTCAAGTATCAAAAATACTGATATTATAAATATTTAATAGAAAAAATGTTCAATTCTATTAGAAGTTTGGAACAATAAAAAGAAGCAAACATCGATTTATCTTAAGAATTTTAATTGTAATTTAGTAAACATGTAATTTTATAATATAAATTATAAAAATTAATAAAAATATTTATTTATATCATATTTGCATTAGATGCATACATATAGAAAATATAAGTGCATTGCAAACAAAAACTTGAAAGAAATACTTGAAACATTAGTATTAGATATTAGGGACCGTATATAAGAGAAGGATTCAAGACTAAAAAATAGAGTTAGCTTGACATTAGAACAATAACTAGATAGAAGGCAAGAAGATCCTGGCTAGACCAGAAGAAGTGAGTTGTTAAAACTAAGGATCCTCTCGACCTTCACTCCTATATATTAGATCCTAAGAAGCTTCTTAAGAAGTTTCTATGAGGCTTAGAAACAAAGCAAGCCTAAGATCTTTCTTTGGCAACTTCTTAAATCATCTAAAGCCTTCTACAACCTTCCAAGATCTCTTATGACCTTCTAAAATATTCTTAGAATCTATTAGAATCTTTTAGAATCTTTTGAAACCTTCTAGAACCTTCTCAAACTTTCTTCAGTTGTATGTCCATAACATCACCTCCTCTTCTAACTTTGAGGTCTCCAAGAAGCAATGTTGCTACAAGTTAGTATATGCACAAGAAGTTGAAGATCTGTCACATAGTATCTACTATATATTCCAGTTATTTTTCACAAGGCAAATGGTTCATAGGCCCCTATAGCCATTGATAGTGCCACAAGTCTTCTACTTATGACCAAGCATGAACTTCAATATCTTTGTTATGGAATTGTCTTGCAAACACTCCTTCTGGGCATCCTTTATAGGCACGTTCTACCTCAAACACAATTACCAGCCACTTATTACTAGATATCTTTCAATGTCTTCATAGTTCACGCAGCTCTTCATCTCAGGATCGTCTTTGCAAGCTACTTAGTTGAGATGGTATGATCGACAAAGTGTCTATTTTTTGAATATCTATATTACATAAAATAGACAAGACCAAAAGAATACAAATAGGCTATGGTCATGAATTTGAACTACTGACTTATATTGTTCTAAACATTTGAAAAAATTACCTCTTCAGAGGCTGCTTTCTTCGCTTCTTTATGAGGCCAAGAACTAAGAATCTTCATAGTGAAGCCATCTTACCAAGCTACTGTTCTTTATTTTTTTACTTTTAGTTTAGACGGATGTTGTTGATGGAACTTTTAAACCTTCATTTGTATATTTACAAGGTTGCCAACTAGTTCCCATGTATAATTCTTGATATCATATTCCTGCAAATGAACCAGATATTCAAGCCTTTCATGTCTTATCCTTGAATCTAATATCTCTTCTACCTCAAATTCAACATAATTGTTGATTTCAACCATAGGAGGTAGTAGTTGTCTTTGACCTCATATATTTGATTCTTTATACCTTTCCAAAAGTGAAACATGAAAGATTAGATGAATCTTCATGGATACAAGTAACTCTCACCCACACTTTATTATTAACTTAGAATGGAGAATGTTCCTTCTTCAATTCATCTGCCACTAGCTTATAACATTGTTGAGTCTTTTCTAGGTAAGTCTTTATGGTTGCTTGAAGTTTGGCCATCTTCATAACAAACTTCTTTACTATTAGATTTGCCAACTTTGAAGGCTCTATCATATCCAACTTTAGATAATAATCATAATTTGAATAGAATGGCATTATCGGGGTAGAGAGAGTTTGCGTCAAGAAAGCGTTGGACTTCTGGCTGTTACGAAATGATCAATCAAGTCTAAGATATAAAAGTACCAAGTTTATTTATATATAATATATTTCTTTTTAGGATAATTATATCAAAACATAAGCCCAAGCGCCAAGAAAACACCCAAATGTATGATAAAATATCTTAAAACCTTATATATGCTAATGAGAAATGTTTTCCAAACTTCAACAACTCAAATCTCACGATTGGATCATCCAAAAAAAATTAAATTTTACATGAAATATTAATATACTTTCAAAAATTACTACAAAAAAATTCAATTGCAAATTTATTACGGATCTTGAGATATCACCAAAATCCTAACAGTAGCTTTAAATCCTAGCTTACATACACCCGTGTGCTAATTTCTTCATATCTCACAAAATAAGTACTCAAATACCATAAAACTTTGATTTATAGCTTTTTAACTAAATAACTCACACTTATGGAAATTTTGAGCCAAAAATTCGTCTAAAAACTTAAGATATGGCTCCAACCATTACTATCAACAAAATGACTGACTCACTACCATTGAATTACATGTACTGTCTTCAATGCCCTATAATTCCTTTATCTAGACTTTGAATTCATCAAATAGTATATGCAAAGTATAGCCAAAAAAGTTTTCTCTTCAATTCTAGTTGCCGATCTTTCATTGCTTCCCGTACACATATGTTATGCTTCAAAGAGTGACAATAGGTACAAATTTCACACCTTAATTTTGAATACCTATATCTCCTTTACAAAAACTCAAAATCATACAAATTCTTCATCCAAAATATACCTAAAATCTTGAACTTACTGATCCTAGCCTCCAAAGCTCAAAATACTTCCAAAGAAAAATCCTAATCCCTAATAAGGCCTCGAAAAGCCTCCTTGAAGTCCATTGGGCATGGCCTTCGACCAATAGGAATGAAGACCTCCATTCCTTGCCTTCATCCAACCATGCTTTGCTTTCATCCCTCTGAATAAGCCTCCTAATAGTTTAGACTTTCATCTTTAGACTCCAACCCTCTCTTAAATTTTATACTAAATATCTAAATCCTACATAATATAAACACTATAATCAAAATAGATAAATCTCCAAATAAGTTTTTCTATATCAATTCTCTTTAAATTTATTTACTAACCACTCTAATTTACATCAAGACTTACAAACATATTATATGTCTTAATTAATTTTTACATACTATAAGCAATTACAATACAACATCGTTTGTTACATAGATGCATAAATTGTATTCTTATATGCAAATTCTACCAACAACAAGTAAGAAGTCTAGTCGTCTCGTCAATAATTGATGGTACACCTCAAATATTGTTCAAGAATTTAATTAATTTGCTCCGTTTGGCCATTAATTTGAGGGTGGAAGGTAGAAGAAAGGTTGATGTCAAACTTAAGAATCTTAAAGAGTGCCTTCCAAAACCTTGATACAAATTATGGCCCACGATCCGACATAATGTCATTCAGTAACTTGTGATAATGATAGACATTGTCAATAAAAAATCTTGTCATTTCTTTACTAGTAATTGACTTCTTGCAAGGTATAAAATATACCATCTTGGTCAATCAATCAGCAATTATAAAAATAATGTCAAGTGGGCTTAATGGTAGAAGATCTGTAATAAAATCGATTGAGATAGATGACTATGGTTATCTTAGAATAGGAAGGGATTGAAGAAGTTCATATAGTTGATGTCGACGGTTCTTTGACCTTGAACAAGTATCATATGATAGTACAAATTTCTTAACGTCCTTCCTCATTTTAGGCCACCAAAAGTCTATAGACACAAGTTCTAAGGTCTTGTTGAATCTTAGAGATATATCAATACCTTGCAATTTTTCCTGCAAGTATGTTCTTTAAACATGCCATGACCTTTTTTACAAGTCTCTATAAAGTAGCACTTATTGAAATCCAGATGTATAAAAATTAGAGCTATTGTAAAAGCATCTTTTAAGCTTTGAAAAGCTTTCTCTAATTTGGGGCCCCAATCTAGCTTGTCCTTGCATGTCAACTACATAAGTGGAGTAGCAATCTTAGAGTAATTCCTAACAAAAATCCTATAGAAGTTTGTAAATCCAAGAAAGCATTGGATATCACATAAAGTTTTTGGCTTTGCCCAATCAATGATTACTTGTATATTCTTTGAATCTATAAAAAAGACTTTGTTGGAAATAATATATCTAACAAATTTGACTTCAGGTGCATGAAATATACACTTCTCTAGTTTTACATAAAGCCTAACATTTTGTAGCTTTTCCAATATAAGGCGGGTATGTTTTTTGTGATCTTTAAAATTCTTAAAAAAGATTAAAATATCGTCAAAATAGATCACAAAAAAATCATCAAGATGCTTACAAAATATGTCATTCATTAAGTATTGGAATATGATTAGTGCATTGGTAAGTCCAAAAGGTATGATATTGTATTCAAAATATCCATACTTGGTACAAAATACT